CTTCTTAAAGTTTCAAAGGTGAGAGTGTAGAGGATCAGATTTGGCCACCCCAAAATGTGTCTCTTTCGTATAAGGATTATTTTTGGCTGGTTATTTTTTAAAAATGTCAGACATGGGAAGAGCTCTGAAAATCAAGTAGAAGTTAGCCTTTGTAAGAGACATTTGCATTTGTAAGGGAAATCTCCATTTCTAAAGGTGCCTCCCTCTCTGTACCAGGAAGAGGGGGGATGATCTTATCTCCAGAAACTCTTATCAATGCAGAAGTCAAGGATTTAAATCTGCATAACTTTACTCTTGTTTACTGGGATTTTCTGCTAATCTCCCATAACTGACTCCCCCCAACGCAATATTCTCCTTTGTCTTTAGCTGAAGATGATATTTAAGGTGACAGCTAGCAATTTTGGCTGAGTTACCCAGTTTTCCTGGGTTTTTTTCATGTATGCATGCTATTAAACTTGACTTTTCTCCTGTTATTCTGCCTAATGTCAATTTAATTTGTAGCCCAGCCAAAAGAATCTAGAATAGGTAGAGGAATTGTCTTCCTCCTACACCACCAAAATTGTTGTCAGAATGCTAAGCTAGGTGTGTAGACTGAGGTATGAGATTCACATTTTTCTAACTGAACAGCAATTTCATTAGGCAACTATCTTTGAAGATGATGTTGAGTAAGAAAATTGGCATTTTAGCCAATTCTTAACAAACTAAATTTGAAACTTCTAAAGAAAAACAAAGATAATTATTTTAAAGGCATTATTGTTATGGCATCCATGTCTTAAAATTATTTGATCTACCTACTATATGTTCTCAACTTTGTTGCAACTTATTGAAGGGAACACTATTATTAAAGGCAATTGCAAGAAAAACTTACAAATATGGTTGTATCTCCTTTCTCTGTCTCAAACTTTTAATCATTATTTTCCAAAAGAGAAATGTAGAGCGTTAAAGAAAAAGAATCAGATAGAAGTAGTATTGATTTTTACAAAATCCAGAGATAATACTTATTTAATTTTGTTTTTCTTTTTTTTTCAAGATTGCCCCTGAGCTGACATCTGTTGCTAATTTTTTTTTATCCTTCTTCTCCCCAAAGCCCCCTAGTCCTTAGTTGTGTATTTTAGTTGTATGTCCTTATAGTTCTGCTATTTGGAATGCCACCTCAGCATGGCTTAATGAGCAGTGCTAGGTCCATGCCCAGGATCAGAACTGGCAAAACTGTGGGCTGCCAAAGTGGAGTACAAAAACTCAACCAGTCAGCCATAGGGCCAGCTACTAATTTTGGTTTTAACATGCTTCTAGAGGTATAGGTTAATCCCCTCTTCTTGAGTGTGGGATGCACTTAAGGACTCACTGCTAACTGACAGAATAAGGCTGATGGAATGGTGTGTGACTCTGGGTCTAGGACATAAAACACATTGCAGTGTCCATCTTGGTTTCTCTCTCTCTCTCTCTCTCAGATCACTTGCTTTGGGGGAAGACAACTACCTAGTCGTTAGCCAACTTATGGAAAAGTCCACATGGCTAGGAACTGAGGCCTCATGGGACTATCCAAGAAGGAAATGAAGGGTCTTCCAACAGCCATATGAGTGAGCCATGTTTCCTCAGAATCCTCCAACCCCAGTCAAGCCATCAGATGATGCAGCCTTGGCTGACAACTTGACTGCAACCTTGAGAGAGGCCCTGAGCCAGAAGTGCTCAGGTAAACCTCTCCTGGATTCTTGACCTTGGGAAACTCTGGGAGATAATACACATTTGTTGTTTTGAGCTTGTAAGTTTTAGATAATCTGTTATGCTGTGGTATAGAACTAATAAAATGTCCAAAGAGAGAGTGGGTTATTGCTCTTTAACTTTTGTTTGCTCTAAATTACTTCCAGTAGTCCCCCTTATGCATGGTTTTGCTTGCTGCCATTTCAGTTACCTGTAGTCAACTGTGCTCTGAAAATATTAAATGGAAAACTCCAGAAATAAACAATAAGTTTTAAATTTTGTGCCATTCTAAGTAGTGTGATGATATCTTGTGTCATCTTGCTCCGTCCCACCTGGGATGTGAATCATCTCTTTGTCCAGCATGTCCACACTGTATATGTTACCTGCCCATTAGTAACTTAGTAGTCGTTTTGATTATCAGATCAACTGTCCCAGTATCCAGTGCTTGTCTTCAAGTAACCCTTATTTTACTTAACAATCGCTCCAAAGTGCAAGAGCATGTATAAGAAAAAACACAGTATATATAGGGTTTGGTACTACCTGAGGTTTCAGGCATCCAATGGGGGTCTTGCAGTGTATCCCTACAGACAAGGTGGACTACTGTATAAGATATTAAATATGTCCTTTGGTTTTAAGTTTTAAGAGAATTTCCATGGCTAACAGACAGGATGCATTTTATTATCATTCACAACAATCTATTTATTTGACTTTCAATTTCCAATCATGACCCAACTAAACACAAAGAAAGAACCAGGTCACGCTGGCAGGTTCTGTGATGGTCCACAGCAGCCACCTCCTGGTTATTCACCTTCCCCCAGTTAGTCTGTCAAACACTAATGTTGGTGCTGCTGGGAATGGGTTCTCTAGAGGTAAATAAGGTCTCAAATCAGTTGACCTTAAGACAGGGGGATTCTCCTGGGTGGGACTGTCCTAAGCAGATGAGCCCTTAAAAGGACTGGGTTCTTCCTGAGCAAAGAGATTCACAGTGTGAGAGGGATTCAATGCGAGGGACTTTCTCCATTGTGGGCTTTGAAAACGGAGGCCACATGGCAAAGAATGCTGGTGACCGCTAGGTGTTGGGAGCAGCCCTCCCCAGGCTCCTCAAGGAAACAGGGACCTCAGTCCTACAACTACAAGAAACTGGATTCGGGGCTGGCCCCGTGGCTGAGTGGTTAAGTTCGCACACTCCACAGCAGGTGGCCCAGTATTTCGCTGGTTCGAATCCTGGGCGCGGACATGGCACTGCTCATCAAACCACACTGAGGCAGCATCCCACATACCACAACTAGAAGGACCCACAACGAAGAATATACAACTATGTACCGGAGGGGCTTTGGGGAGAAAAAGGAAAAAAATCTTAAAAAAAAAAAAAAGAAAGAAACTGGATTCTACTAACAACCTCTGTGTAAGCTTAAACGAGGCTCCTGAGCTCAAGGTGAGAACCCAGCTTTGCGAAACCCTGAACAGAGAACCCATCCACACTATGCCTGGATTTCTGACTAAGGAATTGTAAGCAAACAAATGCATGTTGTTTTGAGCCACTAAGTCGTGGTGATTTGTTATGCAGTAACAGAAAACTAATACACAGGCTCACTGTGTATTAAGCACATAGCATTTTTTCCACATGAATGAATTTATGAACTGATATGCACACTAGTTGCTTAAAATAAAATCTTTCCTAACTTTTTTCTATTTTTCATTTTATGATTTTTACACAATGAAATTAAATTTTAATGCAATCATACTTCATTCATTCATTCAACAGCTTATTTAATGCCTATGTACCAGGAATGGCTTTAGATGCCGGACACACAACTTTGACCTAAACAGCCCAAAGCCCCTGTGCTCATGTGTGTTGCATTCTAGAGGCTTCCCAAGAGTGAGACGGAGCCATTGGAGTGTTTTAGTGAAGAAATGACACCTCCTGACTCACATTAGCAGGATCACTGACTCCTGCGGGGAGGATAGTTCATGGGTGGCAGGTGAGAGGGTGGCGCTGGTGCCACAATTCAGGAGTGAGAGGGTGGAGGAGACTAAGGGGAGAAGAGGGCCTGAGGGGCGAGAGGACAGAGAGAAGGGCTGGAGGAGCAGGGGTGAGGAGAAGAAGCAGAGGGAAAGAATTCTATAGCAGTGGAGTCCTCAGATTTAAACATATTGTTTCAAGGAACTTAAAATATATCTACAAGCCTGGCAGGGTATTCTTTGCATTTGGTTTGTAATTCATGCTGTGGGGCTGCCTAAAAACTAATTGCCTCCTTATATTAATCAGTTTGAAAAACAATAATGTCTCCAAAAAATATGCACACTTGCTTAGATGTGAATTACTTATAAAAATACGCAATAGATGAGCACTTGTGAAGGGCATTTTGACTGCAATGACAACTTGCAACTTTAATTTGATTAACACACAGTAACAAACTGTGCTTCTGTGAGTGACTCTGTAGTGAAGACATGTCAGGGACTCACAGGGACAAACGAGGGAATGAAGATCATTTTGAAATACAACAACCTGGAGTCACAGATATACTGACTGGAAAGTAACACTTAAGAGCTTTATGAGTCTGACTGCAGCGCTGTTTAGACACTTTGATATACGAAGGGGCCTAAATCACTTCTTTCACAGATTAGATTCCTGATATTCAGGGGTTTCAAGATCGTGTTACCCACTGTAGTTAATGAACAAAAAGGAAACCGGTCTCTATGAGAACCTCTGTCTGGTGTTTTCAGGCACATTCTCTCCAGGTTTACAGAGAAAACCCCTGTCCCTCCATCTCTATTCCCACGGCGAGCTCACTCTCTGGCGTCAAGTTCCCTGGGGGTGAGTTTTCTTCTAGAAGAGTCCAGGGGAGAGGTCAGGGGTGAGAGGCAGGGAATCCAGTTCAAGGAGTGGGATTCCAGTAAGAGGAGGAGAAGGGGCTGAGCCCAGCCTGGGGGTCTCTTCCTGGTTTCCTCAGACAGCCCCCGGGCCAGGACTCAGGGAGACGGTGTGACAAAGAGCTCTCGGTGCAGGAGGAGAGGGGTCAGGGCAAAGTCCCAGGTCCCTGGCCGAGGGTCTGAGGCCTGAGGGCAGTGTCTGGGGCGAGGAAGCTCAGCGTCGCGGAGCCCTGGTCTCCCTGAGTTTCACTTCTGCTTCTCACAACCTGCGACAGGTCCTTTCGCCTGGAGACTCAAGACGCGGCCCCAGTTCTCACTCCCATTGGGTGTGCGGTTTCTAGAGAAGCCAATCAGCGTCTCTGCGGTTCCTGGTCAAAAAGCCTCCACGGACCCGTCAGGATTCAGATTCTCCCCAGACCCCGAGGATGAGAGTTATAGCGCCCCGAACCCTCATGGTGCTGCTCTCGGGGGCCCTGGCCCTGACCAAAACCTGGGCGGGTGAGTGCGGGGGCGGGAGGAAACGGCCTTTGCGGAAGTAGGAGCGAGGGGACCGCGCGGCGGGGGCGCAGGACTCCTGGGGAAGGCGCTTTACCGCGGACCCAGATCCAGACAGCCTCCCCCCCACCTCGGTCCCGCCGCGTCCTGACCCTCGCCCCCCGTCCCCCAGGGCCGCTCGCCCCCTCCTGTCCCATCCCAAGTCTCCACCCTTCCCCTTCTGCCGCCCCTTTTCCGTCTCCCGAGCCCTCCCCCCTTCCGCCTCCCGGCCCCATCACCCTGGGACCCGGGGACCCGCGCCGGGAGGAGGGTCGGCCGGGTCTCAGCCCCTCCCCGCCCCCAGGCTCCCACTCCATGAGGTATTTCAGCACCGCCGTGTCCCGGCCCGGCCGCGGGGAGTCCTGGTACCTCGAAGTCGGCTACGTGGACGACACGCAGTTCGTGCGGTTCGACAGCGACGCCGCGAGTCCGAGGATGGAGCCGCGGGCGCCGTGGATGGAGCAGGAGGGGCCGGAGTATTGGGAAGAAGAGACGCAGCGCGCTGCGGGCCTCGCACACTCTTTCCGGGGGAACCTGAACAATCTGCGCGGCTACTACAACCAGAGCGAGGCCGGTGAGCGACGCGGGCCAAGTTCCAGGTCACGGCCCCCCATCCCCACGGACGGGCCGGGGTCTCCCCGAGTCTCCGGGTCCGAGATTCACCCTGAGGCTGCGGGACCCGCCCGACCCCCAACCCGGGAAGAGCCGGCGGGGACTTTCTGCGGTTTCATTTTCAGTTTAGGGTTACTCGCTCAGGTGGAGTTTGGGCGGGACGGGGCCAAATGGGCGGGGCTGACCTCAGGGGTTGGGTTAGGGTCTCACACTCTCCAGCTGATGTACGGCTGCGACGTGGGGCCACACGGGCGCCTTCTCAGCGCATCCTTTCAGTACGCCTACGACGGCGCCGATTACCTCGCCCTGAACGAGGACCTGCGCTCCTGGACCGCGGCGGACACGGCGGCTCAGATCTCCAAACGAAAGAAGGAGGTGGCGGGTAATGCGAAGTACTGGAGGAACTACCTGGAGGGCACCTGCGTGAAGTGGCTCAGCAGATACCTGGAGAACGGGAAGGAGACGCTACAGCGCGCAGGTGCGAGGGGCTAGGGGGCCTCTGGATTTCCCTTCGGGCTGGGGGCCTCCTACAAGGAGAGGAGGAAAATGCGATCGATGCCTGAGCACACTCATCCAGTGGGTTACGAGGCTGAGTCAGCTTAGGTTTTCAGATCGGGTATCGGACAGTGACTTGCCCAGAGGGCCTGCCTTTCTCTTAGTGACAATTAAGGGACGCAGTCTCTCCAGGGATGGAGGGGGAAACCATCCCTGAAATAACTGATGAGCAGTTCCCTTTGACTCTGGCGGTGACTCTGGAACCATGGGACTCTCACTCTCAGGCTTTATTTTGTAATGTGTTTGAGGTCTGATTCCAGCTTTTCTGAGTCACTTGGCCTCCACCCAAGTGACATCGCTATTCCCCCTTTCGGAGACCTGTCTGCTACTGTGGGCTGTCTCATTTTGATTCTAGAAATTTCCAATGAATAGATTATCCCAGAAGCCTGTGCCCAGGCTGGTGTCTGGGTTTTGTGCTCCTTTCCCCCACTCCACTTGTCCTGTCCGTTCTCAGGATGCTCACATGAGTGCTGCTTCAGTGGCCCGAGGAAGATGTAAATTTCTTGAATTTTCTGACCCTTCTCCTCAGACCCCCCAAAGACACACGTGACCCACCACCCCATCTCTGACAGTGAGGTCACCCTGAGGTGCTGGGCTCTGGCCTTCTACCCTGCGGAGATCACCCTGACTTGGCAGCATATCGGGGAGGACCTGACCCAGGACATGGAGCTTGTGGAGACCAGGCCTTCTGGGGACGGGACCTTCCAGAAGTGGGCGGCTGTGGTGGTGCCTTCTGGAGAGGAGCAGAGATACACGTGCCATGTGCAGCACGAGGGGCTGCCTGAGCCCATTATCCTGAGATGGGGTAAGGAGGGAGGCGTGGGCTCAGAGCCTCTTCTCAGGAAAATCAGGAGCCCTTCTGGAGACCTTCAGCAGGGTCAGGGCTGAGGCCTTGGGGTCAGGGCCCTCACTTTCCCTTCCCTTCCCAGAGCCATCTCATGAATCCATCATCCACATTTTGGGCATCGTTGCTGGCCTGGTTCTCCTGCTGGTCACTGGAGCTGTGGTAGCTGTGATCTGGAGGAAGAAGCACTCAGGTGGGGAAAGCGTGTGGTCTGAGTTTTCTTGTCCCACAGTGACTTTCAAGTCCAGGTGGAAGTTTGTCCTGCCTCGTTAATGGGAAGTCCCATCCATAGGCACATGTGCTTTCCTAGTCTCAGGCCCTGTTTGCTAACACTTACTCTTTATTAATGTGCATGTAATAACGAAGGACAAACATCACCATGATGAGTCTGGTGATGGGGATCTGATTCCCAGCAGTCACAGGACAGAGGGGAAGGTCCCTGCTGAGGACAGACCTCCTGGAGGGTGGTTGGTCCAGTCCCCACACATGTACTTTCCTCATATTTCCTGATCCTGGCCTGGGTCTGATTACAGTTTTGGAAACTTCCCTGGGGTCCAGGACTAGGGGGTTCCTTTAGGACCTCACGGCCCTGCCTCCTCCCTGGCTTCTCACAGAATATTTTCTTCCCACAGATGGAAAAGGAGGGAGCTACGCTCAGGCTGCAAGTAAGTACAGAGGGGGAGTGATCTCTAAGACTCTTCTGATAGTGTAGACAGGAGCCCATGGGGGAGCTCACCCACCCCGTAGTTACTCCTTTAGTCTCATCTCCTGTGGGCTCTGACCCCATCCTGTTTTGTTCTGCCCTAGGCTGCAACAGTGCCCAGGGCTCTGATGTGTGTCTCATAGCAGCTGAGACTCTGGAGGCCTGAAGTGGGGAGAAGTTGGGGCAGAGGGTACAGGACTGGGTTATGGGGATTTTTTGCTTGGGAAATTTTGAGCATGCAGTGGGCTATTCAGAATCTCACCAGTTACAGCAAGTGACTTAAATTTGTTCATGATTATTTTCTTCTATAGCATGAGACAGCTGCCTTGTCGAGGTCTGAGTGATGCAAGATTTGTTCCTGTCCCAATCGCCCCATTGTGACTTCAGGAATCTCTGATTTCTCTTTCGGCCAAGGGTACCTGAATGTGTCTGTGTTCCTGTTAGCATAATGTGAGGAGGTGGGGAGACTGGTTTCCCCCACGACCCCCTCCCCACACTGACCTGTGTTTTTTCTCTGATTGATTTTCCTGTTCCAGCAGAGCTGGGTCTGGGCCAGTTCCATCCTTGTCTTAACTTCTTGTTGCCCTGAGCTGCAACTTCTTAATTCCTTATTGAAAATAAGAATCTAGATGTAAATTTGTTTTTTTCTAATTCTTGCCGGGAGGGATTGATGGTTTGATTAAAGGAGAAGATTCCTAAAATTTGAGAGAAGAAATAAAAGGAAGCACTGAGACCCTTCCAGACACTGATGATTCATTCACCTGATATTGGTTGTGTGCCAGATGTGTGACAAAATATTTTTGCATCTGGGGAACATCATTGAAGTGAAAACAGACAGAAGTTGCTGGCCTTGTGGAGCATACGTTGTAGTGGGAAGGATCAGACTATGAACTATAAGCATAGTAAATAAGAACAGTGTTTACGTTAGAAGGTGGTAAGTGCTATGGAAAAAATGCAGTGGGGAAGGCAATGCAGCCCCACAGTGTCCACTTACTTCATGGACCCAGGTAACCACCTCAAGGAGCACACCAGGTTATACACTCATCAGTTCCAATCTCCTTCCAAACCTGAAAGGGAGTTCTTGTGATGGACATCAGCATGTCCTACTTTAAAGCACCCATCACATTCCCATAGTGTTTTCCACTGGACCGAGCCCCATATGGGCATTCCTTTAGTGGAACAGGTTTCTGCTGCCCTGTGCCTGACCATTTGGCCTAGCTGTTGACCACTGCCCATGAGTTGGTAGAAACCAAAACATAGGGGCTTTTATCATTCTTCAATTCTTCCATCACTGCTAGAAAAACTGTATTCAACTAGGCTCAGCAAGGTGATCTGTTTTTACCTTTCTTGATCGGAGGAGTGACTTTCCAAACAGGATGTTGTCTTTTCACCTTGAAACTGTCATCTGTAAGCTAAGCAGCTCTTTGTAGGTCAGTTGAGAGCTGTTCACAGGGCACTGTTGAAGTGACGATAGAATCCAGCAGCTCCTCATGCAGTTCCAAAGTCAGTCATAGGGGAAAAGAGGCTCCCTGCTCATGCATGTATCCTCCCTGCATCCCCCTGGTAGCATGATCCTATATAAACCATTTCCTTTTTTTTTTTTTTTTTTGATGAGGAAGATTGGCCCTGAGTTAACATCTGTTGCCAATCTTCCTCTTTTTGCTTGAGGAAAATTGTCACTGAGCTAGCATCTGTGCTGGTCTTCCTACATTTTGTATGTGGGACATTGCCACAGCATGGCTTGATGGTGTGTAGGTCCGTGCAAGGGATCCAAACCTGTGAACCCCAGGCCACTGAAGCAGAGCTCTCCAACTTAACCACTATGCTGCTAGGCCAGCCATTTCCATTTTTTAATGGAACTCTTCTGGGCACTGTCCTTTCAGTGTTTCTTCAACATTATTCAAGACAACATGGGTATTTCAGGTTCAGAATCATTTTGTGTCTTTCAGTCATAAGGGTAGTTTCAATTAATGTCTTATAGTAAGCCAGTAGCTGCTCCTCAAATGGAAATTCTCTAGTTGAAAGTTCCATTAGTCATCACTAGGAGATACTCAGGAGCTTCTCCCTGAGCTCCAGTACCCACCCCATGCGGTTATTGTACAGAGAGTGCATCTGCACTGCACTCCAGCTTCTGTTCTACACTGTTTGGTTTACACTGAACATATCCAATTAATATTACTTGAAGGGTGGATTTGCATGCCTTCTTTTTTATAATACTAGTAAGGGAAAGTGTTCTCCAGTCAGAGATAATATCCATTCCCGTAAAACATTCAGGTAAAGGAGACATAACGTCTTCACTTAAAGCCTGTTCAACATTCCATTTTCAACCAAATTCTCACTGTAGTTCTATCAACTCTTACACATCTGTATTCTCTCATCCTTATTGTAGCCCACAGTAGGACTTCACCAGTGGGTTTTGGTGTCAAAGGGTGTGGGGCTCCATGTAAAGGAGCCAACCTAGACCATTTTACCCACTCTTTTGTATAAGGCGTTGGGTCCCCAGTGAGAGGTTGAGCCAAACTCCACTGGCTCTTTAGCGAATCATTTATTTACTTATATATGTATTTATTTATTTTGGTAATGTTGTTTATAACATTATGCAAATTTCAGGTGTACATCATTATATTTTGATTCCTGTGTAGCTTACATCATGTTCACTACCCAAAGACTAATTACAATCCATCACCACACACATGTACCTAATCACCTCTTTCACCCTCTTCCCTCCACCCTTCCCCTCTGGTAACCACCTATACAATCTCTGTCTCAATTTGTTCGTTTGTAGTTGTTTTTTTTTTAAAGATTTTATTTTTTTCCTTTTTCTCCCCAAATCCCCCCAGTACATAGTTGTATATTCTTTGTCGTGGGTCCCTCCAGTTGTGGCATGTGGGACGCTGCCTCAGCGTGGTTTGATGAGCAGTGCCATGTCCGCGCCCAGGATTCGAACCAACGAAACACTGGGCCGCCTGCAGCGGAGCTCGTGAACCTAACCACTCGGCCACGGGGCCAGCCCTTGTTTGTAGCTGTTTTTATCTTCTACCTTTGAGTGAGGTCCTACAGTATTTGACTTTTTCCCTCTGACTTATTTCGCTTAGCATAATACCCTCAAGGTCCATCCATGTTGTCACAAATGGCTGGATTTCATCATTTCTTATGACTGAGTAGTATTCCATTGTGTATATATACTGCATCTTCTTCATCCATTCATCCCTTGATGGGCATCTAGGTTGCTTCCAAGTCTTGGCTATTGTGAATAATGTTGCAATGAACATAGGAGTGCATGTGTCTCTACACATTCATGTTTTCATGTTCTTTGGATAAATACCAAGCAGTGGAATAGCTGGATCATATGGTAGATCTATACTTAATTTTTTGAGGAATTTCCGTACTGTTTTCCCTAGTGGCTGTACCAGTTTTCACTCCCACTAGCAGTGTATGAGGGTTCCCTTCTCTCCACATCCTCTCCAACACTAGTTGTTTTCTCTCTTGTTAATCATAGCCATTCTGATGGGAGTGAGGTCATATCTCATTGTAGTTTTGATTTGCATTTCCCTGATAGTTAATAGTGTTGAACATCCTTTCATGTGCATATTGGCCATCTGTATATCTTCTCTGGAGAAATGTCTGCTCATATCTTTTGCCTATGTTTTAATTGGGTTGTTAGATTTTTTGTTGTTCAGATCTATGAGTTCCTTATATATTTTGGATATTAACCCCTTATCAGGTATATGGTTTGCAAATATCTTCTCCAAATTGTTAGGTTTTCTTTTCATTTGGTTGATGGTTTCCTTTGCTGTGCAGAAGCTTTTTAGTTTGATGTAGTCCCATTTGTTTATTTTTTCTATTGTTTCCCTTGCCTGGTCAGACATGGTCCTTGAAAATATGCTGCTAAGACCGTTGTCGAAGAGTGTACTGTCTATGTTTTCTTCTAGAACTTTCATGGTTTCAGGTCTTACATTCAAGCCTTTAATCTATTTTGAGTTAATTTTTGTGTATACTGTAAGATAATGGTCTACTTTCATTCTTTTTCATGTATCTCCCGGTCTTCCCAACCTCATTTATTGAAGAGACTTTCCTTTCCCCATTGTATGTTCTTGTCTCTGTTGTCAATAATTAGCTTTCCATAGATGTGTGGGTTTATTTCTGTGCTCTCAGTTCTGTTCCATTGATCTCTGTGTCTGTTTTTGTGCTAGTACCAGGCTGTGTTGGTTACTATAGCTTTGTGGTATACTTTGAAATGAAGGAGTATGATACCTCCAGCTTTGTTCTTTTTTCTCAGGACTCCTTTGGCTATTCAGGGCCTTTTGTTGTTCCATATAAAGTTTAGGATTCTTTGTTCTATTTCTGTGAAAAATGTGGTTGGAACTTTGATAGACATTGCATTGAATCTGTAGATTGCTTTATCAAGTATGGACATTTTATATCTTTTCATTTCTTTGTGTCTTCTTCAATTTCTTTCAGCAATGTTTTAATAGTTTTCAGTGTACAGATCTTTCACCTCTTTGGTTAAGTTTATTCGTAGTTATTTTATTCTTTTTGTTGCAATTGTAAGTGGGATTCTATTCTTAATTTCTCTCTCTGCCACTTCACTTTTTAATGTGTAGAAATGCAACTGATTTTTGTATGTTGATTTTGTGTCCTGCAACTTGACCATATTCATTTATTGTTCCTAAAAGATTTTTAGTGGATGCTTTGGGGTTTTCTTTATATAAAATCATGTCATCTGCAAATAGTGACAGTTTCCAATTTGGATCCCTTTCATTTCCTTTTCTTGCCTGATCGCTCAGGTTAGAACTTCCAATACTATGTTAAATTAGAGTGGTGAAAGTGGGAATCCTTGTCTGGTTCCTGTTCTTAGAGGTTAGCTTTCAATTTTTCTCCATTGAGAATGATATTAGCTGTGGGTTTGTTGTATATGGTCTTTATTATGTTGAGGTATTTTCCTTCTATACCCATTTTATT